ATTCATCCAGTTGTCCATCCATTCATCCATTCGTTCATCCATCCATTTGTCCATTCATTCGTTCATGCGTCCATCCTCATCTGTTCATCCATTTATCCATCCATCCTTACATTTGTTCAATTGTTCATCCATCCATCCTTCCATCAATTCATCTATCCTGTCCATCTTTCTTCTTTTCTCTGACAATAAGTGAGCCTCCTATATTTTCTATTGTGCTGTGTGTCTGATTAAAACCCATCCACTCTCACATAAATGTACAAATACACACTTTTTATTAAATTTTTTAAAATAAATTTTTAATACTGAAAATTAATTGTAAGGTATTATTGTGTTTTTGTTTGTTCTCAGAGCTCAGAACATGTTTCGTCAGGCAATGCGTTCTCCCGTCATCCTATTCCATGTGGTACCATCCACCATGAGATCCCAGTACGAGCAGATATCCCATAATGAACACAACCCCAGAGCAAACATGGACCTTTCTGGACGTTTCAGCCCTGACTCCCTCACCAATGACCCCATCGACCTGGATCATGCCGCTCACCGATTGGCGCAACACAGGCCACACCCACCGAATAACCATTTGGGCGCCAGCTCTCCCATCCATCATCCTGTTGGCCAATCAGGGAAACCTCCATCAGGTCACGCCTCCTCTCCCCAAAGAGGATTAAGCCCCACCCCCACACCCGGCTTCACCAAGAAAGTTGGGCGGAGACTTGGAATCCAGCTTAGAAAAGGTATGACTAAAAGCGTCCTGTTGCTTGCTGAAAATTAATAATAAACGGCTGTCACTTGATAAAAAACAAAACTGCATGTTATGCTGGTTGATTACTGCATATATTAATATTTAGGCATTACAATTTTAACACATTTGTAGCGCCCCCTACCTTTTTTTATAACAGCTTAGTAAGGGGCAGCACCAGGTTCAATAAACCAATGCCTAAGAGATGTTGTATTAAGGCCCCTTTGGCATCACTGAATGAAATACTTCTCTTTTAGAAAGTTACTCAGAATAAAATCTATGCTCACACAAGTTCACTGGTCAAGAGTAAACTCTTTTGAATAAAACACTTGAAGTAAAAAAAAATCTAAAGAATTTAATTAAAGTAGAATTAAAGAGTAGAAATAGCTGAAATTTCAAGTTGCAAAGTATTTACACAATCAAGTTGATCTCAAGTTTGGTACAATTTAACCCCAAAAGGGAAATATCACAAATGAGAATTACAGAATTACTGAAATTGATTACTCAGAATGCTCACAGTTCCTAAGTGCGCTGAACAACACTATAGACCCTTTTAGGGCCGACGTCACAATTATGTCACAGCGCTAGCTGGAGGCAAAACAAAGAGAAAACTGGAGGCGGCCAATTCAAACCAGCCCGATTCAGCTACATAAGGAGCTTAAAATATCATCTTGTTGTGATGTTGGGTGCCAGAATCGACGTAATACAGCCTCAAATTAGAAATTTTATCGCATACCTGCTTGCTCCAGAATCGACGTAATACAGCCTCAAATTAGAAATTTGATCGCATATCTGCTGCCACTGCCAGACAAAAAACCGACGACAGCTGTGGTTAAACGCTATAAAACGAGCAGACTGAACAGAAACGATCGTCAAAAATACTTGCGTTTGCAGCGCACACTTCTTATCAGAAAAGGTTCAGTAAAGTATTGTCTTTTGTTGTTATGGGTGCGTCTAAAGATTTCTTATGCATCTATGAAATAATGTCTTTGTGCATGTGTGTAAAACAACAAACTGACGATTTATATGTTTAATTCACGGGTCGGCCGATCTGATTTCGTCCGTTAAAGTTAACCTTTTCAAATAACAATCGCGGTCCTGGACAGTGAGTGACCTTACATATAATGGTAAAATCAGATTTTCTCCAGTCGATTGTGAAAAAAACAAGCTAACACACTTGATAGCTAGCGTTAGTGAAGCGGTCAGGGGAATCTTTCTGCCTCCACCTAAGCTCCACCCACAGAAAAACGTCACAATGTTTACTAACAGAAAAAGGGTCTATACACTTCAAAGTATTAATACGATGATCTATCGATTAATTTACTGTATTTTCTGCAATCTGTCAGCTCAATCGCTCCAATCAGCTCTCTTCTCAGCTGCACGTCTCTTGTCTCTCCCCTCCTCCCCCATTAACCACTCACATTTTCTATTTTCCCGGTAGGGAGGGTCTTAACACATACAAACCAATGAAAATAAAGATCAACCTAACTCGTAGGGCAAAAGAAAGTTTTTTTTCACCTGTGCACCCCAATCAACCTTACTTCCAATAATGGCATTCTTAAAGACACAAGCACACATATTTTGTGACTAAGTCAAGTCAAGTCACCTTTATTTATATAGCGCTTTTAACAATACAGATTGTGTCAAAGCAACTGAACAGCATTAATTAGGAAAATAGTGTGTCAATAATGCAAAATGACAATAGTAAACACTCATTTTTGAGTTAAAGACCGTTCATCATTGAATTCAGTTCTAAGAATATGAAGCGTTAGACTTCAGATCTGAATGAAACTAAATTGCACAAACAGTAAATGAAACAACATAACCCACTACATTCTAGAATTATATTCTAGTGGGTTACACATTTTTAATATAATTAATTGTACTAAATTAACTTGTAAAAGCTCTTTTAACAAATAAAATAAAACGAATGAATGAATGAATGAATAAAAAAATCGATATTATTTTATTGTAATATCTTATTGCAGGTTCGTTTTCCTTTTCTTAATAACTTAATTATGTTTGTTTGTTTGTTGTTTTTATTGAAATGATTTAATGTGCAATGTGGCTATGTTAAAATATGGTTTATGCCCTGTTTATGATGAAGGCTGTGCTAATGAATCCAGATGTCTATTGCTGAGCATATTTCCCATTCTGCAGAGTCTGCTGTACTGATTCAGCTGGGAGAATGTCGCTCTGTTATCTGCCAACAGCTCCTTCCTGTTTGTGTGTGTATCCGTGTGTCCCTGCTGTAAAGGTGTGGGATGTGAAATGATTGACAACAGTTGGCACAAGTCTTGGCACCTGTGTGTGGACAGGTGGCCCAGCGGGTGCACAGGGTGGCAGTGAGGTTACGGAACAGCGGTGCAGGGAGCGTTGCTAGGCAGCGCCGCGTGTCAGTGTGATGTGTTTCCATATGGCTGTCTGATTCTCTCAGTGTTTTATTGGACCCGAGTCGCACACACACACATATCGGAAAACTCGCAGTGTTCTTTTTGAAAAGTGTGACTGAACTCAACCTGTGGGGCCACTTTCTCTTTCTCACTCTCGGTCTCTGTCTCTCACACTCAGATGCACTTATCTCAGCCTTCTCACACAGTCTCCAATTTCTGCACCTCGGAAGGTTTAAGCCCAGTCTGTTGGGTCGACAGGTCATGATTTTGTGTTGCCTTTCAGACCCCATGTAGTCCAGGGGGCTTCTGTTCCAGTCCTGTAGTCTCCATCAACAAGCTGTAGCCTGATGTTTCTCTAAGCCGCAAGCTTCTGATGTTACTCACGTGCAGACAGAGAGAAATTCGACACACAAAGCAGACTCAAAAATGTGTGGGATAAAAACTAGAGCTAAATGAATGCATTTAAACTAAAGTCCTTTCAAATGTACTCTAATTTTAAGTATGGAACTGACGCTGAAATATTATGTAGTAGAACAGTACAGATTACAGACTGTCAGTGGAAATTAAAAATATATATCATATGATATAATATAATAAAAAATAATAATAAAATTAAATAATAATAAAAAAAATACTTTTTCCAAAAACAGAGGTGATACATTAATAACAAAATCATAAATTTGTTTTCTAAACATAATATTTTTAATAATATAATATTTCAATAATATCATGTTTTTAAAAGTTTATTTTGCATTTTTGGTAACACTTTACAGTAAGGTGTCATTTGTTAACATTAATTCATGTATTAACTAACACGAACAAACAATGAACAATACATTTATTACAGTATTTATTCATCTTTGTTAACGTTAGTTAATAAAAATACAGTAGATCATTGATAGTTCATGTTAGTTCACAGTGCATTAACTAATGTTAACAAACACAATTTTGATTTTAATAATGCATTAATAAATGCTGAAATTAATATTAACTAAGATTAATAAATGCTGTAGAAGTATTGTTCATTCTTAATTCATGTTAACAAAAGTAGTTATGTTAACTTTCTTGCTCTTTGTCAACCACTTTACAAATTAAGGAATTTAATTGTTAGAATCTTTTTTCGAGATCAGTTTATTTATTTTAAAATTTTATTTTAACGACGCCCATGGGCGGAACTGTGACTCTTCTGGTACTGAGACAGGAGGAGGCCTTTCTACCCAGAGAGATAGTGAGGAACTGTCTGTGTCTGTGTGTGTGTTTGAGTGACAGTTACGAGAGTGTTGAGGTGTGAAATCCTCCTGCTAATGTCTTCATAAAACTGTCCATCACTATATCGCACAGCATCTCTGACATTTAGAGTCTCACCACGCTTGTTTGACTAGTGGTGTGTTTGAGTCAAGGTTAAGTTGCAATTTCAAAGTTTCCATTTGCATTTCAATGAGAGCTCTATAAAGAGGACTATTTCCGTTTTATTATTTTATTTCGGTTAGCTTTTTAAACCATTTTCATTTTAGCTTTCTTCATTTTACTAGTGTTTTAAAAACGTCATTATTTTACCTCAGTTCGAAAAGGGTCAATTCAGGTAAAATTGGGTCACTTTTTACATTCATATCAAAGGCAAAAATCCAATTGAACTGAATTCACCCTCTATGATATTAACCCCAGGTGGAGTGATTTTTAGATCCATCTTTGGTTGCACTGTGTGCATGTTTGTTTGTAGAATTAAGGTATTATTATTAGTTGCAGTATTACCATAGTCCTCTCCTTCCTCACTCTCTTTAGAACACAGAACCAGCAATGCAGAACACAAGAGAATGGGTAAGAACTGCACACACATAACCAAATTTTGTTCAAAACTTTTAAAAATAAGATAAGGTAAAGATATCGCTAACTCTAAACTGTACCTTCCCACTTTATTCACTTTTTAAAGTGTCAAATTAAGAGAAAAAGACAAGGCCAAAAATGCTTATAATAGCCGGATCTGGCAACATGGCGAAGGCTGCGCCCGCGACCTCTCTCACAACTACTCTTGCAGTGTCTCGCAGCAATATAGTTCTCCATCATTTTCACACCATGAACACTACAAATTCTAGCATGCTGTCTAAATTGCATTAGCTATACATGCAGACACTCATATAAGGAGTGTTAAATTACTAATTCAGAAAACAGATGTTATTTTTGAACATGAACAATTTGCTGAGGCCCAGACCTCGGTGACCTCATAGCTGGCTATGGCCATGAATACAATGAAAATCAATAGGGCCCAGTGATGTTTATGTTCCCACTGACTTTGATTGCATGGGCAAAAACATTTTAAAATGATTTTGTGTTCTGGAAGAACACCGTCATACAGGTTTGAGATGATGTGGGTGAGTAAATTACTTCATTTTCAGTCATTTATGGATGATTATAAGCCTTTAATTAATCTGACTTACTCTCTCTGTATCTCAATCTGTATCTTTCTGCTGTATTAATAGACTATGTTGCTGTGATTTTCTCAGTAAATTAGTCATTTTTTTTAACATACTCATCTGGTTGTGATTATTAAATCTAATCACAGTTATTTGATTTAAATGTGACTTGCACACCTTGAATTCGAACATTTGGTCTGTATAGAGCTGCAGCTGTTACGCTTCAGAAACACTGTCAGTGTGAAAGCTCATCCTGTTTCTCTCTTCTTTTTGTCTGTTTTCTATGGGCTTTTTTATTTACGGTCAGTTTTGTGCAGGCGATGCAGTGTTGCCAGATATTGCTCTGAAAACAAATAAAAACCGAAAAATAAATAAAAATCTACCAAATTTTGTTCAAAACTTTTGAAAATAAGATAAGGTAAAGATATCGCTAACTCTAAACTGTACCTTCCCACTTTATTAACTTTTTAAAGTGTCAAATTAAGAGGAAAAGACAAGGCCAAAAACGCTTATAATAGCCGGATCTGGCAACATGGCGAATAAATTGCATTAGCTATACATGCAGACACCCATATAAGGTGTGTTAAATTACTAATTCAGAAAACAGATGTTATTTTTGAACATGAACAATTTGCCGAGGCCCGGACCTCGGTGACCTCATAGCTGGCTACGGCCATGAATACAATGAAAATCAATAGGGCCCAGTGATGTTTTTGTTCCCACTGACTTTGATAGCATGGGCAAAAACATTTTAAAATGATTTTGTGTTCTGGAAGAACACAGTCATACAGGTTTGAGATGATGTGGGTGAGTAAATTACTTCATTTTCAGTAATTTATGGATGATTATAAGCCTTTAATTAATCTGACTTACTCTCTCTGTATCTCAATCTGTATCTTTCTGCTGTATTAATAGACTGTTGCTGTGATTTTCTCAGTAAATTAGTCATTTTTTTTAACATACTCATCTGGTTGTGATTATTAAATCTAATCACAGTTATTTGATTTAAATGTGACTTGCACACCTTGAATTCGAACATTTGGTCTGTATAGAGCTGCAGCTGTTACGCTTCAGAAACACTGTCAGTGTGAAAGCTCATCCTGTTTCTCTCTTCTTTTTGTCTGTTTTCCTCCTCCTGTCTTCATGAAAGCTGCCCTCCCCGCCTCATTTACATGTGCTGCATTTCCTTCAGACGCAGGTGAAAATGGCAGCTGTGTGTGTCAGGGACATAGTAATGAACAGGAGAGTGACTTGAATGTAAAACTGCTAGTGCAGAGGTTCATAGTGTTTAAAGTCTATTGCACACTGTGAGATACAAATGAGCTATTCTGTCATGTTTTCAAGGGACAATTCACCCAAAAGTGACAATTCTGTCATCATTTATTCACCCTCATGTCATTTCAAACCTGTGTGACTTTATTTCTTTTGTGGAACACTAAAAGAACATTTTAAAGGATTACACTAGTGACTCTTTTCAATTCCACGGAGAAAAGAAAGTCATATGGGTTTGGAACGACATGAGGGTGAGGAAATGTCTTTGTATAGTCTCTGAACAACTGATTTGTAGTGTGCGTTCGGTTTGAGAGGTCACAAACCATGATAGTGTCTTAACATGAAGATATTTTTTTTCCTAATGCACCTGTTTCTCCAGGCTGTCCTTGTTCCCCTGTTTCCCGTCTTAATCATTATTTTGATAAAGTAAATGAAACAGCCATTTGACAACCAAGTTTTATTTCTTTCTATGCAGTCGATAATTACAGTAATGTCTCTGTCTGTTTCTGTAGAAGGTAGAAGACGAGGAGTTGGTCTTAACCCCAGACGGGACGCGTGAGTTCCTGACGCTGGAAGTGCCTCTGAGTGATTCTGGCTCGGCAGGATTAGGAGTCAGTGTCAAGGGTAACAGATCAAAGGAGGGCCACGCTGACCTGGGCATCTTCGTCAAGTCTATTATTAATGGAGGAGCAGCATGCAAGGTTCGAAATGTATACACATAAACATTTTTAGGAGATCCAGCTGAAATCTGCAGACTTTTCTCATGATTATGGCACAAATTATTCATAAGTTTGAGGTTGTTTTTTAAAATCTTTTATGCCTCACCAAGGCTATGTTTATTTGATCAAAAATGCTGTAAAATATTGTGAAATATAGAATATTAGAATTAAACTTTTTTTTTTATATATATTTTAAAATATAATTTATTCCTGTGATGCAAAACTGAATTTTCATCAGCCATTACTCCAGTCTTAAGTGTTACATAATTTTTCAGAAATCATTCTAATATGCAGTTTTACGGCTCAACAAACATTTCTTAATTTTATTGATGTTGAAAACCATTGTGTTGCCTAATATTCTTCTGGAAACGGCAATAATTTAATTTCATTATTAATTTGGATTAAGACATTTCAAAGGAACAGCATTTATTTAAAAAAGAAACCTTATAAATGTCTTCACTGTCACTTTTGATCAATTTAATGCACACTTGCTGTATAAAAGTATTAATTTCTTTTAAAATATCTTACCCCGGTATTCTTTGTAATTGATTAATGTTTATAACATTATTATAGAAATGATTGACCAGTTAGCAGTCGTTGTCTTATAGTTTTGTTATGAGTTGCACAGTGTACATATTAAATGTCTTGAATGGTGTATGAATGGTCTTCATAATCTCATTCTCTGGCGTAGGACGGAAGGCTGCGAGTCAACGATCAGCTAATCGCAGTCAATGGGGAGTCGTTGTTAGGGAAGACAAACCAGGACGCCATGGAAATGCTGCGCAAGTCCATGTCAACGGAGGGCAACAAGCGAGGGATGATTCAGCTGATTGTGGCAAGACGAATCAACAAACGCCTTGAGGTAAAGAGAGAAGAGTCAAGCAGATGAGAGTCTGAAAGCTTTGATCACTGTTCATGTGAAGGTGGAAATAGTGCTTCATGTATAAGTTATATAGAGGAAATGAAATGGCCATTCCATTAAAAACATCTTAAGAAAATTTTATTAGGAATTAACTTGCTACATCTCAACTCTCTCTCATTATTGGTCATATTTTGTCAAGATACATTTTATTTCCTCTAGTCTTGCTTTGAATTGTTTTTGAATTAAAAACAGACCAAAAAAAGCATACCTACTTCAGCACACATTAAGGTCGACCACGTGCTGTTTTCTTTCTTTCTCTCTCTAGAGAACGTCTGATCTGTTTAAAGACCAGGCAATCAGGTCACTGCATTTTGCGAATTTATCCACAAGGGCTTTCAAGAAGTATTTTCTGTAATTCTGAAGGGAAAACTATGATGGACTCATGCATTTTTGTGTCGCAGGGTTATTAAAGTTTGGCCAATAATGATGGGAATTGTCTTAGCCAGAGCAGGATCATAACTGCGCAAGATTTTCCCATCATGCTGAGTGTTCAGTGTCTGCATCTGAATGAGACAGAGCCCACCAGAGCTGATTCTGACCACTTGGTCACCACGACATAAACAAACAAAATTTAAATAGTAGCCAGTTAAATCTCTCAGAAGTGAAATTCAGAGGTTGTGTGATTCGAATTATGATGTTCTTCTTGTTGTTCTGGTTTCTGTCAGGGTGAGAGCCGATGCAGTCCTCGAGGGTTAGAGCGGACCCTGAGCCCGTCTCCTGATGACCACGAGCGGCGGATCTCACACTCGCTATATGGAATCGAGGGGCTTGATGACAACCTGAGGCCACAAGCCAACACAAATAATCGTAAAATGAGTGAGTTACAACACCAACACACTTAAAGATCTAACCCCCGGTTTCACAGACAAGGCTTAAACCTAGTCCTAGACTAAAATGTAAGTCTGAGCTGTTTCAGCTGAAAGAAACTTGCATTGACTGATCTTATTAAAATATATCAGTGCCTTTGTTTTGTCTCAAGATGCACACCAGTAATGTTTTTTTCTAAGCACGTTTATGAAAATTGCTTAAATGTCTTAATTGAACTATGATCTAATCCTGGCTTAGTCTAAGCCCCGTCTGTGAAACCGGGCCTAAATGTGTCATTTCTGTGCTAGCCTGACCTGGTTTGCTTTTTTTTAGTCCGTTTAAGCTAATCTTATTTTTAATCAAATGCTTAATAATTAATTTAATATTAGTGTTTTTAGCATCTTTTATATATTTTCATTTCACTATATATATGATAAAGTAATAAATTAAATTAAATGAAATGAATTAATGTTTTTTATAATGTTGATAGATAGATAGATAGATAGATAGATAGACACAGACAGACAGATGATAGAAAATGAATGTAGAATTTCATTAAAATAACACACATGTAGATATCTATCTATCTATCTCCTTCTATCTATCTATCTCCAAAAAACTTTGGGTTTGGGAATTTTTCTTTTCTTTTTTTCAAGAAAGTAATTATTTGCTTTATTTTGCAAGTTAACCATCACCAGATGCTCTCTGCAATCACATTTGAACGCAGCATCAGGTTTCAGAAGTAGAATTGGCATCTCTGGGCTGCAGTGTGTAAGAAACATGTGGTCTAACACAAAACATATGAGTGTTACCCTGGACAAACAGATGCAGAGCTGTGGAGGTTCACTGAGAGCTCTCTGTGTGAGAGAGAGAGCCCAGCCGGAGCTGTTATCCTGCCTGTCAACAACTGAATCCACTCATGGGAAATGACAATAGCAGGGTGCCACACACAGACGTGCATATGCTTTTGCATTTACTCAATATATATGCAGAGTCATGCTCATACCATACCATCCATTTACACTCACACAGACAGGCTTTCACTTGCGCGCTCTCCACAAGCACTCCTGCAGAAAGATCAGAATGTGACTGTGTCCATCCATTTAAAAGACCTGTTTTCAAACCTTCCTCAGCAAATGTGTTAGTAATGGGGTAATGTAGTTGTTTGTGTGCTGATTGGATTTGGATCTGCTTGAGTGAGGTTCTCTATGAACATACAGCAGGTTAATGTCTCATCTTCAAATGTTATGAAGATTTGAATTGCTTTTTTAATTAATTAGTGTATTAGATATTTATGTGGTGGAGAGAACTGGAATGCTTTAGTTGCCTTCCGGAAGTAAAAATCCCATCCATTTTTGCCATTACTAAATTGATTTTTTTTTTGTGATAACTTGCTTATAAACCCTAAAAAGACAGAGGTACTGTGAACTATGAGGTTGTTAATCAGTGGCTATCAGCCCACGTTATTTCAACTCAATTTTTAAACAAACATGTTTAACAATGGAATTCCTAATGGAAAAACTACATTACCTATGATTCTGTAAAGAAATCTCCACCAATGCACCTATATTTTTATATTTTTCCACTAATTTTTTTAATTCAAAAATGTAGTTTTCATTCCTTGTTAAAGCCATAAAGTACACACTCTTGTATCTGTCTTTTTTCCTTTAAATCCAAGTTTATAATGTTATGTTTTGATTCATGGCTTATTATGCTTTAATTAAACCTTTTCTAAAATCTCTATTGGAAAAATAAAAGTACAGTGTTTAACGGAAAAAGATATTCAAGAACCATTAACAAGCTAAAGAGCGTGAAGAGAATAGTTTGGTTCCAGTATTTCTTTAAAAAAAGCACTTTGTTCCCAACCATAGTGCATTTTGTGATCGCTTACATCCCACGCGGTTTCACTTATTGAAGTATGTACTGGAAAAAAGAAAGTGTTTCTCATGGGCTTTATTTTAGACTAGGGTGGGAAATTTCTGAGCAGATTAAAAACACAAACAAGCTAACAGCACTATCTCTCTAAAATGCATGCTTTCTCTCAGTATTTACTGGAAAAAGGGCCCTTTTTTTTGCACGAGATGATATAGAAAATCAGCAATGCAAATTGCTTCCAGGCTGTATGTAAGAGCAAGCAAGCATATCCAAGTGAAGTGGACTCTACACCATGTCTTTAATTTGTAAATCTCTCGACATGCAGAGCACGACACAAATGATTCACTGTTACTCGTGATTCTCTGTGACTTTGACCTGCTTTGCTCAAAATGAGGTGATTTATTTTTGCGTGAATTATAAATAACACTTTGTCATCTTTATTTTTACCATCTGCACATCATGAAACCCCCACCATGATCAGGATTAGCTGTATTACTTGATTACTGTGTAATAATAACATAATTTGATTGTCCCCTACACCCCTTCCTGCTCTTATCTCGCTGTAGATCATTATCAGCTCTCGCCGACAGTGAACATGCCTCAGGATGACATGGTCATAATTGAAGACGACAGGCCACATGTTCTCCCCACCCAGCTGTCTGACCAATCGTCATCCAGTTCTCATGATGACATAGGCTTCGCTGTGGAGACGCCTCCGCCGCCACCCTGGAACCAAGAGCTTCCCAACAGGTAAATAAAAGTGGACAGTTTAGAAAGTTTTGTAATTTATTTAGTGAAGTATCTATTGTCTTTGTTTCTATTTCGAGCATCAACTATCTGACTCTTCTGACGAGCTTCCTGCTGTAATTGAGTCCATGGCCTTTCCTTTGTTTGTCAAAGGAGCCTCGGTTATTAGAACAGGGCCAAGGGCTGGACACTGTGCTGTGATTTAATCTGTCTCTCTTTCTCTCTCCTTCCCTCAGCACTTCCAGTGCTATTGACGAGGGGGTGTTTCAGAGGGAAGGCTTTGGCAGGCAAAGCATGTCTGAGAAACGCACCAAGCAGTATGGAGACGCGAGCCAACTTGACATCATCAAGACCCGCAAGTCCAAGAGCATGGACCTAGGTACTCTAAAGATTAATCCTAAATGCAGTGCTTGGTCTTAAATACTTTAAACCTCGACCCAAAACACAGTAGTTAGGCCTAGATACTCTAAAGGTCAGTCTTAAAAATGACCTTTAGTCACATTGAAAGAGCACAGTAAACACAATAGTTAGAACTAGATACTCTAAAGGTCAGTCTTAAAGACAGTGATTGGACCTAGATGCTTTAAATGTCAGACCCAATCGCTGTGACTAGATCTATGATACACTAAGATACTGTAAAAATCTGTCCCAAATACTTGGAGTAAAAGATCAGCCCCAAAAACAGTGATTGTACCTAAATACTCTAAAGGTCGGTCTCAAAAACAGTAATTGAACCTAATTACTCTAAAGATCAACTCAAAGCACATTACTTAGTCCCAGATACACCAAAGGTCTGTCCCAAACACAGTTCTTGGACTTCAATACTGTAAAGGTCTATCTCAAAAACAGTAATTGGAATAGGTCAGTCTTAAAAACACATAATTAGACTTAATTACTCTGAAGATCAACTCGAAGCACATTATTTAGACCTAGATACTCTAAAGGTCTCTCCCAAAAACAGTACTTGGACATAAATACTCTAAAGCTCCATCTCAAACACAGTAATTGGACCTAAATACTCTATAAAGATCAGTCCCAAACACAGTGCTTGGGCCTAGATACTCTAAAGGCCGGTCCCAGTAAATAAATTCCCACCCCGAAATGTAATCCATTGCTCAAGTTACTTTCCTCTCTTTATAAGAGCACTTCTCAGAATGCCTCTCATTCTGGGCATCACCATTCACCACTCCACCGTCACTAAGTCTGCACTGGTCTCCCTTGTGCATGTGCTTTCTAATCTGAACACTGTTTCCACTCATCCAATTCAGCTGGATGTTCCTCACTTACCGCTTTACCACTGAAATGGAGCTGGTGCCAGTGTGCAGACAAGGCATCCTGATTCCTGCAGAACCTTCCACTGACTCCAGAGCCAAACGATAACGTGTTTGTTTTATTTGGAGTTTTTCACATTTACATTTATTTTGCATAATTTCTGACATTAGTGATTTCCCGATTTTGAGATCAGCACGTTAAAAGGGATGAAGTATGAATTACATTATTCCCACCTTTTCTTTGGAGGGAAACGTGTGGAATGAGGTCAGTTTGGGCACCGGCACGGTCTCAGTGGAAAAGTGATAACTCTGAATCAGTAGAATCACTGTGGAAACACACCGTTTTGTTAATGAGCACTGACTGATTGGTTCTGTCGTCTGATTTGTTGATGGTGATACTTGCCTGGTTGCTTGCTGCATGTTGAATGGTCAAACTAACCGTCCTGTCGATGTATGTGTATGTGTGTGTGCCCCTCACACAGTGGCTGATGAGATTAACCTCACACACTACACAGAAAACCACCCAGGTAAGCATGACCACTCCTGCACTTCTCTTCCACACTGAAGGATTATTAAATCCTTGCCTGTTTTTCTTCAGTGCTGAGATGATTTTTTTCCTGCTGTTTCATCACTGATTACTTTCCTAGTCCCGTTTGTCACCACTCTCATAACCAGAACAGCTTAAAAACTGGTTACAGCATTCATACTCTGCAATTTAGCAATGAAATGATCCAGAAAGCACTAAAATACACAATTGATATTTATATGTTAATAAATTTTCATATTTTTGAAAGAAGTCTATTATGCTCATATAGAGCCAGCATTTATTTGATTAAAAAAACAGTAAAGTGGGAATATCGTGGAATGTTATTACAATTTAAAATAGCTTTTTCTTATTTGAATATATTTTTACAAATATTTTAAAATTGAATTTATTTCTGTGATGTTAAAGCTGAATTTTCAGCAAACATTACTCCAGTCTTTAGTGTCACATGATCCTTCAGAAATCATTCTAATATGCTTGAAAATCATTCTAATGGTGCTTAAGAATTTTCTTATTATTATCAAGTAATTTCTTATTATCAATATTGAAAACAGTTGTGCTGCTTAATATGTTTGCTTTCAGAATTCTTTGATGAATAGAAAGTTCAAAAGAACAGAATTTTATTTGAAATAGAAACTTTTGTAACATTATAATTGTATTTTTTTTTTATCTCACTGACCCCTTTTATTTTCATTTTTACATATATTTTCATTACATATATTATTGTATTTTTGTATATTATTGCCATGGAGGTACAACAGGTTGTAGTGGTGTTGTAAAGCTTTTTGTTATGAAAATCTTATTAAATTTGATAAATTTTATTGTAATATTGCAGTATTACAAACACATAACTGTATTATATTTAAAAATAGCAGGGGCGGTCTGACACGCTTCAATAAGGCAGCGCTGCGTGATGAAGATAAATTCACACAATCTTTTCTGGCCACCACTTGCATTCATTTATCTTCATCACTTAATACAGAAACGCATCTTCACATCTTCATGGCTGACTACAAATGATAGCAGCTCATGCACACACACACACACACACACACACACACTCCACATAGCGTTCAAATAAATATAGCTGCTTTTATCAGCGTTACGGTTGAAATTTGTGGCAGACAGACTGCATGCATGACTAGTTGATTGTGCTTTGTGGTTTAACTAGCGAACTGTTCCTCAGGCTCTTCCTCACATGATGTTGGCCCGTCTCTCGGCCTAAAGAAGTCTAGCTCTCTGGAAAGTTTACAGACTGCCGTCGCTGAGGTGACGCTCAACGGTGACATGCCTTTTCACCGGCCACGGCCACGCATCATACGGGGGCGGGGCTGCAACGAGAGCTTCCGAGCTGCGATTGATAAATCGTACGACAGGCCAACAGCCAATGAGGATGAAGAGGAATGCATGGATACATGTACGGCTGCTCCTGATTGGTTTAATCAGCGAACGCACTAAAATTTGGCAAATGTTGAGATAACGGCTGTGAATTTGATTAGCTGGTTTAACTTTTGTTGATTATGACTGATAATAACAGCTTTCCATTTCTTTTTTTCTGTAGTGGAGGAGGACACTGAAGGAAGCTCTCGATCGGGGCGGGATTCGGTTTCCACGGTAGCTGATCTCACTCCGCTTCCCGTCACCGAGCAACAGCTGATCAATGGCAACCAGCCTCAAAACGAGAAGAAGAAAGAAAAAGGGGGGAAGGACAAAAAGAAGCCAGAGAAAGAGAAGGGTAAAACAAAGAAAGGAATGCTCAAGGGTCTTGGAGAGATGTTAAGGTAATTAAAAGCAGATCTGAACAGCTTTTTGTGTCAGATAAAAGCGACTAAGAATAATGATGATAAGAGCGCAGATGAGCCCAGAGCACTTTTTCTTCATGTCCTTAATTACCTCAAAACCCAACAATAGAATAAAAAGCCTAGTGAGCTGCCCACCGACGCATCATAGGCGTGTTCCCGTCTCAAAGACTCTTTCACCAGCAAAATTGGTGAAAGATGTGAGTGAAGAAAATGAGTAGTGTTTGGACAGGCAAACCTTACCAGCACATTACTAAGGTGGCAGGTTGCAGTGCAATTGCAAAGATGTTCTGGGTGGTTTCTGGTGTGTTGTTAGGTGGTTGCTAGGGTGTTCAAAATAACACATCACAGAGTTTCTTCGTTATTCTCTTTTGTAGATATCGCCTGAAGTTGCCTTAACAAGCTTCATGCTGCCTCATGAATTAAGAAGGCTTTGTTTTAGCCAAAACATTAGATGTCCTTGACGGTTATAGTCCCAGAATGCATGAAATAAAAAATAAAAAAATTGATTATAAATATTAAAGGGGTGGTTGATTGCGATTTCACTTTTTTAACGTTAGTGTGTAATGTTGCTGTTTGAGCATAAACAATATCTGCAAAGTTACGACACTGAAAGTTCAATGCAAACGTAGATATTGTCTTTTAAAATGATGGCAGTTTAATGCCTGCAAAACAGCTCGTAGGGACTACAACGAGTTACTTCCCGGGTTTGTGACTTCACAAACCCTGATAAACCCCGCCCCGGGAACATGCAACAAGGGGGGCGAGGGCATCTGCTTTAGAGAAGAGGAAGAGTAGTTGCCTCTCTCTCTCTCTCTCTCTCATTCAGATCATCAGCTCCATCAGTGAACTGTGTTCCAATTATACATTTTATGTGTACAGACTTACAGATATTTTTCACATAGCTATGAGAAATGTTAAACATGGACGCGTATGCGGTTGCTGTACTGTATTAAAGCTTTAACCAGGATGAAACCGTATATTAAAAGCTAACATAAGCAGTAGCATTTACAAATAACAACGTATCTAAACGTATGAGACAACAACAAACAAAAAAACATACCATTAAGTTGCACAGGTTCTGCGCGATCCTCTTCACTAATATTCTCTGTGCCTCATTCGGGCTCAAATTGATAAGCAATATTGACGACGCCATTGTTTACAATACAACTGGAGCACATGCACTGAGCGCGCTCTGGCGGTTTAGCGAATCACAACACACTTGGCTAGCTAACCAATCTGAGCCCATCGCGTATTTCTGAGGGAGGGGCTTCATAAAAGCAGGAAATCATCAGCGCGTTTATATGAGAAGGAACAGAGCGGTGTAGAATAAAGGTAAATTATGTGAAATTTACTAAACTAACTAAAAATGTGTCAACCACCCCTTTAATTACTGAAGTGTTGATAGAAAAGATCTAAATGAAAATGTGAATTTTCTGTGCTTACATCATATAATAGCTAGACACAATATGATTAAAATTTGAATAAACGTTGCTAATTAAGCTTTTTACCATTTAAAAGTTTGGTGCCAGTAATATTTTCCAAGTTTTTTTAAAGACGTCTCGTGCTCACCAAGGCTGTATTTATTTGATCAAAAATATAGTAAAAACTGTAATATTGTAAATAGTAATTTTCCATTTTTAATATATTTTAAAATGTAATTTATTCCTTTGATGGCAAAGCTGAATTTTCAGCATCATTACTCCAGTCTTCAGTGTCACATGATGCTTCAGAAATCATTTTAATGTGCTGTTTTTGTGCTCCGTAGTAGTAGTTGTGTTGTTATATTTTATATAACTTTTGATCAATTAAATTGATTTTATTGAATAAAATATATAAAAAAATCTTACTGATTCCAAACTTTTGAAATAGTGCAGTGTACAGGTACTGTATGTAGACAGTAGACAGCAGTGCATCTCACTAGTATTTGGACTTCCTGTAATAATATAAAAAAATAATGGGATTGAAATCTAATCATTAATATTTATAGGCTGTGCGTTTGTGCTCTGTGGAGTGACAGTATGTTCCTGAGCTCTAGGCAGAGTGGACAATCACATTCAAGACACGAAGGAAAAGTTTGAGTTTCCATGAAGTTTAGTGTAGACTGGAGGCGAGAGAAAGCAAGAACACAGCTCATTTGAAGCTTTTTGAATCTGTCAGCAATAGATAAATCATTTTTGAAAACGTCGAATATTTTAGACTGCTTCTGGGGCAGTGGAGTGTTTTAATGGCTGTCATCTGCCTCACTGAGCCAAAGATACCTGCTACATATTAATGAGCGCTCTACATATTAATGAGCTCCGCCAAATATCAGAACACATAGGCATACAAAGGTATTGAAACTCCTTTCAGCTTTCTCGCACACACTTCAGTCCTCGCACATGTCAGCGGAATATTAATGAATTGATATGCTTGATAAAACAAAGATTTGCAGAGAAGAGAAGACTTTTCGCGCTCTCTGCTTTGCAGAGTTGCAAAACAGTGATTAGTTTGTTAAATGAATTAGAATAGATGGATTAAGAGCTTTAACGGTGGTTTAATTAGAGCAGACAGGTTTAAGGTTTTTTTTTCAGAAGCATAATGTAATGAAAATATATTTATTAAAATAAATAAATAATGTCCATTACAATTGAAGGGAAACATGACTAGTATTTTGAATCAATAAGCTTTTAAATGCACTGAAATATATGCACAAAATGCACCAAATAAACTGTTATTGGGCTTTTGAACAGTTAATTGAGAAGAATGTGACATCAACTTGTGACATGTGTTTGTGTGTGTTAAAGGTTCGGGAAATACCGAAAGGACGAGCGTCTGGATGGTCCGAAGTGCAAGGCAGAGGAAACTCATGCATCGGAGGAAGAGACATGCAGAATGAGACAAGAACAAGAGAGGTACACACACAGAGTCAGAGCTAATCTTAACTATCATCAGCCTCTAATCAGAGGCATTTCCTGTCACTTTACCTGCCAGCCGTACCCACTTCCTCTAACCTTCTTCCTCGGTGATTGTTTCAGTCCTGTTGTTTGTGTCATTATTGTGTTTTGTTAAAGCATTATGATGCTTTTATATTTTGTGTGTGTTTGCATACTAATTCTTTAGCTAAGCCTAATATGTTTTAGTTGTTTTAAGTTCATTGTGTGAATGTTCACCTGCAGGTGTGTGTATGTTCATGTTGTTTTATTAATAATGCCATGTGAACCCCCTCCCGTTTCCCCTTCTGTCCTGTGAGACCATGCTGAGAAATCCCCACTCTTTCAATCTTTTTCTTAATCTCTCTCTCTCGTACACACTCATTTATCATCTTGCTTTTGATGGGGGTTAGAAAGGTGTTTCAGTATGTTTTTAGGACCTATGAAGAAACTACTGATTTCAGGTTTAAAGGGATAGTTCACAAAAAAAAACTAAATTTTGGCATTGTTTACTAATCTTCATGACTTGCTTCTGTGGAACACAAAAAAATATTTTTTTGTCTATACAATGAATGTTAATGGGGTCTAAACAACATTAGGCATTAGGCCTTTGTGTTTCTGTTGCAGTTTTTATTTATACACACACACACACACACACACACATTCTGTATATGTATATATACATTTCGTCATTTAGCAGGCACTTTTATCCAAATATGTATGTGCATATATATAATAATTTTCTACATCATGTATGTAATATACATATATGCATGTTTATATATTATATATAATGTTTTGGATTATTTACATTGTATATATTTTTGCATGCAGTGTTGCCAAAGCATCAGTATACAACAAAAAGTGACTAAATAAATAAGATGCTAGAAATGCTAATAAAACAATGTAATATTAACTATATTTATATATTAATATGTTTATTTTTGTATATATTATTGCATACATTGTTGCCAAAGCATCAATAAAAAAATGCCAGAAATGCTAATAAAAGAATTAATTTGATTTTAAAGGTGGGGTAAGCGATTTTTCAAAAACGCTTTAGAAAACTGATTCGGGCTGGCTAGCAAAACAAATTTGTAGCCAATCAGCAGTAAGGGGCGTGTCTACTCATGATGTGGAGGAGAGAGCATTCAGTGCACAGGACGGACATTAGCCGAGCGACAGAAAGATAGAGATGGCGGATAA